AGTAATCCTCTTTTACAATTTTTTTTTTTGTTTTTTCATGTTATAATGTTAAAAAAATGACAGTACCTAACCTTTATCATCCTGAGTCTTATAGAAAAATTGAATAAAACCATATATTTCTAGCAACAGATAGTTAATGGTGTCCTTCTATATCTGATAGGATGAAGCATGAGGGACTCTTAACATTTTTTGGAAATACTATTGTTGTACACATGATTTTTTTGTTTGGTACCGGGTATCAAACTCAGGACCTTGCATTTGCCAGGCAGGTGTTGTGCCACTAAGCCACATCCCTGGCCCCTACAGATGATCTTATACATTTGTTATTCTGCAGTTTTACCTCTAACAAAATCAGAACACTAACACATTGACAGGGAATATGTAGACAACGTTTGTGATGTGCCTCACTACCTCTACTTTCATCCTGATTTTGGATAGTTGAGATATGCTATTCGTTATGCACATGACAATGACTGGAGGCAAGAGAGAGAGAAAAGATAGTATCTGCAAATTTTCTGTTAGTTGTCTATGTGTGGATATCTTCATTTGCTTTGAGATCAATTTAGGGATGATTTGAGGAAGAGCTTTAGCTCACAGACTATTATTACTTATAGAGAATTGTTTAAACTCATCATAGCCAGGCTGACCAGAGATAAAACCATTTGATATTATCATGTGCAATGGTTATAATGCTGATTGATTTTCAAACCACAGACAGACATTTTGAATAGGAAATAAAGTGTTCTTTATTTAAAAAACTTTAGAAGAATATGGCGACATTTATTTAAATGACTGTTTGTAAGATTTATACATTAGCAGACAAACCATATAGATACACTGAATTAAAGGTGCCAGCAGAAGAAACAGCACCAAGAGGCTCACTGAGAAGAGATTGAGCTTATTTGAACAAGCCTAAAATATTCTTATTTTTAAATCACTTGTATTCTGCTGAACTTTCTTTCTTATCCCTTGGTAATATCTTGGGGTGATTTCCAAACTTTGGAGTCATGTTAAAGTATTGATAAACCTTTAGTTCATACTAAGTGAAATAAGGCAGTCACAGAAAGACAAATATTATAGGATTCCACTTACATGAGGTAATAAGATAGTCAAATCCATAGGGTCAGAAAGTACCAAGGTGGTTGCCAGAGAGGAGAAAGGAGGGAGGAAGAATTATTATTTAATGGGTATATATTTTCAGTTTTGCAAGATGAAAAGAATCCTGAGGGTGAATTTTAGTGATAGTTGTACACCAATGTGGATGTACATAATGCTATTCTCAATGTACACTCAAAATAGATTGTAAATTCTATGTTATGAGTACTTTACCACAATTTAAAATGAAACTGTAATATTTTTAGTTTTCAGTTGGATAGTGGTTTAATGGATGTTTGTTATACTATCAAGCTTTATAATGAACATGTCTACTTATGTTTTTGTATGTGTCAAAATATATTGAAAAGGGAGTAAAAGAAACACCTATTTAAAAGTCCATGTCTCTTAATTCACTGTAAGTGAGATAAGCCAGGCACAGAAAGACAAATATTCTCACTCATATATGAAAGCTTAAAAAGTTGATTTTTTAGAAGTAGAGAGGAGAATAGTGGTCACTCCAGGCCAGGAATAGAAGGGGTAATAAAGGGATGTTGGATAATAAATTCCAAGTTAAATTAGTGGAAAAAATTAAAGCATTCTGTAGCATTGTAGGGTGACCGCAGTTACAGTTTATTGTATATTGTACATTTTATTTTATGTTTTATAAAAGACTAGGAGAGAGGAGTTTGAAGCTCGTTGATACAAAGAAATGATAAATGTTTAAGAAAATGGAAATGCCAGTTATCTTGATTGGGTCACTGAACATTGCATACGTGTATCAAATTTTTACAGTGTACTCTATAAGTATGTACCATTATGTGTCCCTTAAAAAATTACATTATCTCATGCCCAACTTATTGCTTATCTCTTCTTTTCTCTACTCTCTGGACTGGACTGAAGGATAAGGTATGGAGAGGGTTATTTTCCTCTCTCTTTCTTCCGCCTGTCTTCCCATCTTCTCCTTTTCCTCGGGGTGTCAGAGTGCAGAGGAAGAAGGAAGAATGAAAATTGTCTCTTACTTGACTGGTACAGTTTTGGTCTATTGCGGCTACCATTGCCTCCCTGGCTGAAACTGACTGGCTGCCGCTGCCAACTACAGAGGCTTCTCTATGTCTGAGCTCTCTCATGGGAGGTTGATCTCTCTCTTGATACAGTCTTTTGAGGATGGAGATGGTTTCAGTCTTACTTCTTCAGATTCTTATCGACTGCTGCCTCTTGTTCAAGTTGTCTTTGGTGTCTATGCAGCCGATAGTGACTCATGAGTCCCGGATGTACATGGCTTCTGCTCTCTGCTCATTCCTAATGCATCTTTGGCAAATTATTTGCTCATCCTTCTTAAATGAGCAGAAAGGATAGATCAGAAAACTAATATGTAAGTAGGGAATGAGAAAGCAGCCCTCCTACTTGCAATTTTTGTTATTGTTGTTAAACTGAATTGTGTATTTTTTTTTTTTTTGGCAGTAGGTAATTCATTCATGCAATTCAAATTGTAAAAGGTACACACGGGTTCAGAATGAAAATTCTCTTTCTACGTTTTTCTCCTACTTCCCACAGGCAGCCAATTTCATCTTTGAATCTTTCCAGAGAGGCTTTAAGTGAGTACAAATACATATATTCACTTTCCCTGTTGACACAAGTGGAAACATACTACATGTACTATTCTGCACCTTGTTTTACCACTTAACAATATGTTGAGATAATTTTCTCAGTCCATAAAAACCTATCTCGTTATATTCTATAGCTTTATATTTTTGTGTTATTTATTCACCTATTTCCTTGTTGGTGACTTTTGGGTTGTTTTGTTCTATTGCCAGTTTGCATAATATCAAAACATATAATTTTGTACTTGCCACTTTGCATAAATATATTTATACCACATATGCATTTATATGTAGAATTTTTGCACTTATGTATAACTTCCTAAATTTGGAATTGTCAGGGTAAAGTGTCTGTGCATTCTGATTTGTGTGCGTGTGTGTGTGTGCTGGGTATCAAACTCGGGTCCTTGTGCTTGCGAGGCAGTCCACCGAACCACTGAGGTAAATCCCCGGCCCAATGTGCATTCTTATTTTTAATAGCTATTACTTGCTAAAACCCTTCACAGATGTGCTCCAAAGATAAGAGTTTCTGTAACTCCTACTATGATGTAGTATCAATTATTTTATTATACACAAATATATAAAATATATCTCAAGAGATTTAATTTCATTTCTCTTGTTACAAAATTTTTTTGTATCCTTTGCTTATTTTTCTAAAATTGATATTCTTATTGTTGATGGAAGGGCCATTATACAATAATAAAATTAGCTCTATCTATGATAAGATTTGCAGATAGATGTGTCAGTAGGTTTGCATGTGTGTGTATGCAAGGAGGAAGAGTGAAGAGAGAATTAATGAATTTTTCCTAGTTTTGGTAGTTATGTATATTTACTTTATGGCAGAATTTGCTACGAAGAAAGTTTGTATATTTTTGTAGAAACTATTACTTTAATTTACAGTGTCTGACTTCTGAGTCATATTAAGAAATCCCATGCTACTTAAAAATTAAGAAGTCTCCTGTAATCCTATGTAGTGACTTTATTATTTCAGTTTCATTCTGATTTGAATTTACTATGGTATAAAATTTGAAATAGATATACAACTTAATTATCTTTTCAGATGAGTACAATTTTTCCACACTATTTTTTTAAAGACACAGCAATTGTGTCCCCACTAATTTAGGATATAACTTTAATAATGTACTAAATTCGGTATGAATTTATATTCTTTGTACTCCTCTTGGTTTGAAATTTTGGTTATGTAAACATCACCATTGCTTTTTCATTATTTTGCCTTGTATGATGGTTTAAATTATTCTTTTCTTCTAGCTATATTGCTCCTCTTTAGTATTTCACTATGAAAAAGAAGCTTGTGTTATGAAAATTTGTCTTGATATTTCATGGGGATTATAACATCATTTAGCTTTTACAGAATTAAAATTTAATGATGCTAAATATTCCTAAGAAGATACTTTGAGCTCTTTGCAGCGTCAAGTTCAATTTAGCCCCTCTCCAAGTGCTCTCTTATGTTGCCCTGACATTCATTCATTCATTCATCATACACCCACTCATTTGCCCTTTATGGTTGTTTATTTCAGTATTGTTATGATAACTATCAACCCGAGGCTTCCTGAAACACCTTATAGAACTTTTCGCTTTTCCAGGTAACCAACAAAACAGCCATGGATTACCAGGAAAACGTCAACCAGTCTCAAGCAGACAACATTTTTTGTTCTGTAATTTTGGATCACAGCTTCAGAAGTTTCTGTCCATGGTCTCCTGGCTGCAATACAGAAATATAATGGCAGAAGAGTGTGGTGGAGGAAATCTACTCACAGGCAGAAGCAGAGACAGTTGGAAAGGGCCCTGTTCTGCTTTTTATAATAGAATTTATTTTTAGATAAGTTTTAGGTTCACAGCAAACTTGAACATTAACTACAGAGAATTTCCATACATTCCTGACCCACACATGTACATTTTTCCTGTACTGTACCATATTCCACCTCAGAGGGGTACATTTGTTAAAACCAATAAGTTTACACTGATATATCATTATCACCTAAAGTCTACAGTTTGCATCAAAGTAATTTCTTGGTGGTGTACATACTCTGCATTTTGACATATATCTGGTGTAACCATATCAAATAGAGCATGGCCATTGCCCTAAAAGTCCTGTTTTTTTACCTGTTCTTTCCCACTACTTAATTTTTTTTCACTTTCCATCACTTTAATCTGTATTAGGTTATCATAATTTTTGCTTTTGCTATGTTTTCTGGGGCAGTCTTACTATATAGTCCAGGCATCATCCCTCTAGCCTCAACCTCAGGAGTCCCAGATCGCAGGCTTGTTACCACTGTTCCTGGAAGTAATATTTCTTCTTACATATATCAAAAGTCATTCTGAACAATGACTTGTGGGTTGCAAAAGAGGACTTATTTTTTGCATTTGTGCATTAATCCCCTACTTTATAATCCCAGAAAACTACTGATCTGCCTCCATAATTTTGCCTTTTCCAAACTGCCATATAATTGAAATTATATAGTATGTGTCCTTTTTAGTTTGTATTCTTTTTGTTTTGAGACAGGGTCTTGCCTTGTACTTCATGTTGACCCAAAACAGTGTAGCCCAGGTTGGCTTCCTCCTCCTTCACTGAGGTCCTCCTTCTTCAGTCGCTTGAGTGCTGGGATGACAGGCATGTGCCACCACACTCGGCTTCAGTTTGGCTTCTCAGTTAATAATATCCATTGAAGATCCTCCATGTCTTTTCATAGCTTGAGAGTACATTTCTTTTTGTTACTGAATAATGTTTAATTGTTTAGTTAGTCATTTTCTTATTGGAGGACATCTTGGTTGCTTCCAAGTCTTGGCAAATATGAATAAACCTGGCATAAACATCTGTGCACAGGTTTTTATGTGGACATGACTTTCATTTCATATGGATGAATCCCAAATATTGTAATTGTTGGACCATATGGTAAGAGCATATTTAGTTTTATAAGAAAACAGTATATTTAAAAAGTATTGTTGGTGCGGGGATTTAGCTCAGTGGTTCTGCCGCCTGCCTCACAAGTGCAAGGACCTGAATTCAATCCCCAATACAAAAAAAAAAGTATTGTTGGTGATACTGAGAGTTCCTGCTGTTCTACATACTTGCCAGCATTTGAATTTTATCAGTTTTTTGGATTTTTGCCTTTGCAACTTTGTGATCTCATTGTGGTTTCGACTTGTAATGCTGTAATGATATGTGATGTTCTGCATATTTTCACATATTTATTTGCCCTCTGCATGTGTTTCTTTGTTGAGATGTCTGTTCAGATCTTTACCATTTTTAAATTGGTTTGTTCATTGTTCTAGTGTTGAATTGTACTTTTGGACAACAGTCATTTATTTGAAAATATTTTCTCCAAGTCTATAATTCATTTTTGGATCCTTTTGACTTTTATACAGCAAGAGTTTTTAATTTTAATGAACTATATCTTACCAGTTCTTATACTTTTAATTCCAAACACCATTGTTCACTGTTGGTATTGTATTCTATAATCTTGGTAGAGTTGTTATTAGTACCAAGAAATTTTTGTTGATTCTTTTGGGCTACCCACAGGTGAAATTCTTTATCTCTGAACAAAGGGACTTTTATACCTTGCTTACCAATCAAAAGAGTTTTTATTTTGTTTTCTGGTCTTAATGGATTAATTAAGATTTCTTGTATGATGTTGAAGAGGAATTGTGAATGGGAAGATCATTGACTTTTTCCTGATCTTAGTGGGAAGCCTTTTACTTTTTCCTCAACAACTATGGTATTAGCCATAGGTTTTTTTTTTATTTCATTTTTTTCTTTCATTGAGTTTATTGGTACATTTTAGGTATACAGTACAGTTACATTTATCATTGGGATCTTGTACCTTTACATGATATATGTTGGTTCTTGTTTTTCCCCACCACCCTGCCCTCCCTTCATCCAATCTACCCTTCCCTATTTACAAGGACTTTGTTCCATTATTTTTCCTTTTCTCGCATTTTTGCTTTTCTCTTCTTTCTTTTTCCCTACCCTTCCCATTTTCTCTACTCCTTCATCCCTTTTCTTCCTAGTTCACATTATCAATTATACAATTTGAACCTTATTAACACTTTCTGTTTTTTACACCATAGAAACTATTTGGTATTTACACATGTGTGTCCTATTTATTTCACTTAAGACTATGGCCTTAATATACACCCATTTTCCTATGGATGACTCTAGTTTCTCATTTTTTTCTTTTAAATTGAATTTATTGGTACATTCTAGGTAGACAGTACAGTTACATTCATTACTGGGATCTTGTACCTTTACATGTCAGGTCTTGGTTTTCATTTTTTCCCTTGTCCCCACCCTGCCTTCACCCCCTCCTCCCCTCTTCATCTTCAAACACTTTAATCCCATTTTTACATTTTCTCATATCTTTTTCCTTTTCCCTTGTTCCCCTTTCCCTATCCTTCTCAGTGTCCCTACACCTTTGGTCCCTTTCTTCCTATTTCACGTTGCTAATTGTCCCTTTAGGATCTTGAGTACTATTTTAGTTTTTCGCACCAGAGAAACTATTTGGTATTTGCATATGTGTGACATTTATTTCACTTAGGAAAATATCCTCAAAATGTACCCATTTACCTATGAATGAATCTACTTTCTCATTCTTTATGGCTGAGTAGTACTCAATTTTATAGAAAAACCACATTTTCTTTATCCAGTCTCCAGTTGAGAGGCACTTGGGCTCTTTCCAAGTTTTAGCTATTACAAACTGTGCTGCTATAAACATTGGTATGAATGCATCACTGTGGTATGACTCTTTCAGTTCTTTTGGGAAGATACCCAGAAAGGGAATAGCTGGGTTAAATGGGACTTCTATTATAGTTTTTTAAGGTATCTAAATCATGATTTCTACAGTGGTTGCACCAGTCTGCACTCCCACCAACAATGCAGAAGAGGTCCTTTCTCCCCCAACCCTGCCAGCATTTCTATTGGTTGATTTCTTGATAGCAGCCATTTTTTCCTGGGGTGAGATAGAATTTCAGTGCCATTTTCATCTGCATCTTTTGAGTAACCAGTGATGTTCAACATTTTTTTCATACATTTGTTTGCTGCTTTTACTTGTTTGTCTAAGAAATGTCTGTTCATTTCAGATGCCCATTTTGAATTGGGTCTTTATATTTTGGGGGGTCTGATTTTTTGAATACTTTATATATTCTAGATAGTAGACTTTTATCTGAGGAATAGCTGGTAAAAACATTTTCCCACATTTTAGGCTGTCTATTAGCTCTTTTGGTGATTTCTCTTGCAGTGAAAAAGCTTTTTAATAAAATGAGATCCCACTTGGTGATTCTTTGTGCTAATTCCAATGCTTCTGAAGATTTGTTTGTGAAGACATTTCCTATGTCAATGTCTTTGAGAGTTCTACCTAACATTGTCCATCAAGTTTAGTGTTTCTGTTTTAATATTAAAATTGTTAATGTACTTTGATTTTAGTTTACTGTATGGTGAAACATAAGGGTCTAATTTTAGTCTTTGGAAGGTTGAAATCCAGTTTTTCAAACACAGTTTATTAAAGAGGCTATCTTTCCTCCATTGAGGATGGTTGACTCCTTTGTCAAATATGAGGTAGCTGAGCACATCTGTAGTTGTTTCTGTATCTTCCAATCTCTTCGACTGATCCTTGGGTCTGTTTCTTTGACAGTATCATGCTGTTTTTATCACAGTGGCTTTGTAGTATAGTTTCAAGTTGGGGATTATGATACCACTTACTATGTCTCTGTTTCCTAGAATTGCTTTCACTATTCTAGTTCTCTTCTGATTCCAAATGAATTTTTCTCTCATTCTGTGAAATACATTGTTGGAATTTCATTTGGGATTGCATTGAATCTGTATAGCAATTTTGGTAATGTAACACTTTTCACAATGTTGATTCTTCTTATCCAGGAGCAAGGGATGTCTTTCCTTTTTCTTGTATCCTCTTCAATCTCTTTTTTCGGGGTGCTATAGTTTTCACTATAGAGATCTTGTACTTCCTTGATTAGATTGATTCCTAGATATTTCTTTTTTGGATGCTAATGTGAAAGGGATCATTTCACCAATTTCACACTCAGTGAGTCTGTTATTTTTTGTACAAGAAGGTTATTGATTTTTTTTTTTTTGGTACCGGGGTCAAACTCAGGTCCTTGTGCTTGCAAGGCAGGTGGCAGAACGACTGAGCTAAATCCCCGGCCCAAGGCTATTGATTTTTGAGTGTTGACCTTGAATAGAGCTACTTTTCTGAAAGTGTCAATTAAGTCTAGAAATCTTTTGACAGGATTTTTTGGGTCTTCTAAGTAGAGTATCATATCATCAGCAAATAATGACAGTTTCACTTCTTCCCTTCTTATATTTATTGCTTTTATTTCTTTTTCTTGTCTAATTGCTACCGCTAATGTTTCCAGAGCTACCTTAAAGAGTAGTGGTGATAGTGGGTATCCTTGTCTTGTTCCTGATTTTAGCATGAAGGTTTTCAGGTTTTAAGCATTTAATATGATGTTGGCTGTTGGGGTTTCGTAGATAGATTTTATCAAGTTGAGATGAAGACCATCTATTCCAATTTTCTGTAGGGTTTTTTTTATCATGGGTAAAGTTTGGTAAATTCTTTTTCTGCATCTATTGAGATGATCATATGGTTTTTATCCTTTCCTCTGGTAATATAGTGTATTACATTTATTGATTTGTATATGTTGTACCATCCTTGCATCCCTGGGTTGAATCCAACTTGGTCAGTGTGTAAGATCTTCTTGATGACCCTCTATATTCTGTTTTCCAGTATCTTATTGAGGATTTTTGCAGCTATGTTCATTAGGGAGAGTGACCTGTAGTTTTCTTTCTTTGTTGGGTCTTTCCCTGTTTTTGGAATCAAAGTAACACTTGCTTTTAAGAATGAATTTGGAAAGCTGGGCATGGTGGTGCATGCCTGTAATACCAGCACTCAGGAGGCTGAGGCAGGAGGATTACTGTGAGTTCGAGACCAGCCTGGGATACATAGTGAATTCCAGGTCAGTCTCAACAACATAGTGAGACCCTGTCTCAAAAAATCAAAAATCAAAAAAAAAAAAAGTGTAATTGAGAAATGAGAAGGGTAGGGGAAAGGTAATAAGGGAAAAGGAAAAAAAAAGAAAAAATGGAAATTAAGTATTTATAAGTAGGGAAGGGAGTACAGGGTGAAGGGAGGACAGGGAGAAGGGGAAAAAAATGAGAACCAATACCTGTCATGTAAAGGTACACGATCCTAATGATAAGTGTAACTATACTGTATACCTAAGACGTACCAATAACTAAATGAAAAAAAAAGAAGTGTAATTGATACTGTGTAATAGGAAGACAAGTCTAAAAGAGTAGAGGAAGTGGGAAGGGAAGGGAAGGGGAAAAGGGAAAAGAAAAAAATATGTGAAAAAGAAAAACATAGAAACAGTGTCTTTGTAAACAGAGAAGAGTGGAGGGGC